ATACTCTTCTATTTGTTATTTTAGATCAATTAACTTTTGAAATGTACAAGAAATATCGTTTCCAGCATCCAGGGCCTCTCTCAGAGAGGTCTTTCAATATATGGTGTTCAAATGGCAGTATGGATGAGTCCTCCTTCAAATGGAGGGTTTATCCATACAGGGGTGTTGGGAGACACCGAAGATCAAACAGCAACAAAAGGGTTATAAGTAACTTCTTTCAGTTAAAATATATATAACTTTTTTGTTGGTGATTTTTTTTCGGTGATTTGTTTTTTTTAATTGTAATTTTTTTTTTTTTTAATTGTAATTTTTTTTTTTTTAATTGTAATTTATTTTTTTTTAATTGTAATTTATTTATTTTTAATTGTAATTTTTTTGTTTAAATTTGTAATTTTTTTTGTTTTTAATTTGAATTTTTTTTTTAAATATATTCTATTGTATATTTGATTTGTTTTCTTCTTTTTTATTTAAAATGAAAACTAAATTAAACTCAAAATACAGATAAATTGATTGATTATCCAATTATCATAGTATAACGATGCTACATTTAATTGTTAAAAATAATATATTGCACTCGCTGCTTTTAAAATTTACTATAAGCCAAGACAATATCTTTAGCTATATAAATGCAATTAATTTATATCTCAATTTAATTTTTTATCTTATGTGTTTATAGTTTAGCTCCTTAAAGCGTTTAATTTTGCTTTTTAATTGAAATATTTTAAATTTATTGTGATGTCTTCTAAATTAAACTAAAGTTTACCAAAAGCCAACATTAAATAGCGTCATTAAACAACATCGACAAGAACTGCTGCATCATGACAGCAACTAAAGTATGGTAACAGGTTACCAAAAGTAAGTAAATTGTTTTCCAGACATTTTTTTTTTTTTTAATTCTATTTTTTTTTTGCCTTTTTTATGCCTACTTCTCTGTTACAATTTTTATTTTAGTTTTGTCGTATGACGCAATATAAAAGATCAAAGTTAACATTTTTTTCTAAAATTTGTTATACACATGTTTGACTGTAAATAATTATATATATATTTTTTGAAACGTATTTGAATTCAATTGCTTAGTTATTTATAATAAACTTAGTTATTTTTAATAAATTTATTTAGTTAAGTGCATTTAACGTTGTTAAGATAACAAATTTTCATTTCTAAAAAAAAATTTAACCTGAGAAGGAATACCAAAAGTTAATAACTCCTGTATAGAATAATATAAGTTAACTTCATGATAATCTTAATAAATAATTAAGATTTATTTTTTAAAAAATATTACAAGAATTTAGTTGAAATTTAAAAAGAATGGCGAAGTGTTATTATTTTGTGTTGAACTTAGAAATGTCGATAAAAATGGTTCTGCCTTACACTGATATGACCTGTGTCAGTTGTAAATTAATGCAATGTGTTAAATAATATTTGGTAAATTATTTAACCTCTTCATACTCATGTCAATTTTACCGAGACATAAACTTGTTGAATTTAAATGCGTTTTTTTAAAAGGGTATTTGTCTGCAAATAACGTTTCTGAGATAAGGGGGCAGTAGATCAATTATAAAAGTATGGAGATACTAAATTTAAAAAAATTTTATAAAATGTTGGGTTAGTAGGTTATAAACATAGGTAATTTTAGGAAAGTAGAGAGTACTCAAAAAAGCGTACAACAAATTGCGGGGGGTAGGTGCGAAGGGTTGGCGATAAAAATGCGTACGTACTTTATGGACGACTCCTAACCCATAGTACGGGTTACTTTTTGCTAGTAAAGATGTATAGTTAAGCAAGTTAATAAACTCAAAAACTTGGAATGCATGACAAAACTTCTAATGAAATCTAAGAAAACGTGTTTTTATTGCGTTCCAATGTGATGCACGGGCACTATTTGTATTTAGACTTAAATAGTAAAGAAAAAAAAGACTTGAAAAAATCATTGTGCTATTTTTTCTTTTTAATATTTAACGAAGTATTTATAACTTAAATTGTTGACCTTATAGACGTTTATTGATTTTTCAATTTTATTAAACTCTTTTTTTTTTAAGTTTTACAGTTTTCTTATGTGTCACATTAATAAGTAAAACTTCGCTCATGCAAAATATATATATATATATATATATATATATATATATATATATATATATATATATATATATATATATATATATATATATATATATATATATATATATATATATATATATGTATATATATATATATATATATATATATATATATACATATATATATATATATATATATATATATATATATATATATATATATATATATATATATATATATATATATATATATATATATATATATATATATATATATATATCTTGATTGGATAGTCATGAGTTAAGAAAATGGTTCATCATTTCTTGATCTTACAAATGCATATTGTATCTATAAATTTATTAGGACTATTTTAACATTAAATTGGTTATCAACTCTTGATCTTTCAAATATGTTTTATATTTATAAATCTATTAGGACTAGTTTAACAAATGATTTAAAACTAATTGTCAGCCTGCATTTTTAATGTAATTTATTTAATATCTCATGTAGTATGGATTTCCAGCAGGCAAATAACGTTGAAATAACGTTGAACTATCGTTGAAACCTAACGTTGAATTTACGTTGATTTAACGTTTAGAATAAAAGTTTTTATCAACATGAGTTATCAATGTTAAGTCAACGTTAGATTCAAACGTTATACCAACGTTGATTCGACGCATAAAAACGGTACAATAACGTTGAATTTACATCGATTCAAGGTTTAGAATGAAAGTTTTTTTCAACGTTGATTTATCAACGTTAAATCAACGTTAGGTTCAAACGTCATATCAACTTTGATTTGACGCGAAAAAACGTTACAATAATGTTGAATTTACGTTAATACAACGTTTAATTAACGTTTATTTAACGTTGATTTATCAACGTTAAAACGACTGTTAAATATATATATATATATGTATATATATATAAACAACTGTATATATATAAACGATATATATATAAACGACTGTTAAATATATATATATATATGTATATATATATATATATATATATATATATATATATACATATATATATATATATATATATATATATATATATAAATTTTATATATATATATATATATAAATTATATATATATATATATATATATATATATATATATATATATATATATATATATATATATATATATATATATATATATATATATATATATATATATATATATATATATATATATATATATATATATATATAAATATATATATATATATATATATATATATGATATACGAATGATCAAATTATTAAAACTTCAATTTATACCAAAAATTAAGTTACAGGAAGTCACATGTCTTAACTACTGCAATTTTTTACACATTTGTGTAATTTGCTGACACTATTGTAAGAAGAATTTTTTAGAAATGATTACTTAAGCTTTTTCAAAAAATAAAACATTTTTTTCAAAGAGGAGTTAATGTAACTTTTGTTTGAGCTCACCTTTTTTTATAGTTTTTTAGGAGAAACTTATTTTCGTGCCTGCATTTAGAAAACAATTCCGATTTTTTGTTTAATAAACATTCTTGGTTTGTATGTGTAATTATTTCAATTTTTTTTGTAGACATCCTAGTCGGCACGAACGTGAAAAAGACGTCTTTTAAACGTCTTATACATGTTTTAGACGTCTTTCGAACGTCTTTTGAATGATTTGGACGTCTTTTGCACGTTCAGAAGACGTATTTTTTTGGTCCGGTGCCCACTGGGATTGTATGCATTTTTTAGAAATATTGTTATATGCAGGCACTGTTTTAAGGATGGGCCAATTCAGTGTAACATCAGCAATACTTTTATCTTTTAATTCCCGTATATATTTTGACAGCATGGTGTCTTTTGAGTACTTTTTATTTTTAAAAGATTGCTTATGAATGGTTAAACGTTTTTTCCATTCACCGTCTCCCAGTGGGCACGCGGACGGCTTTAGGACGTCTTTAAGACGTTTCGATCGGACGTCTTAAATTGGTTGGATTTGGAAATACAGAAAGACGTTTTAAAGACGTCCCAGAAGGAACGTGAAAAAGACGTCCTGAGAGGAACGTATAAAAGGCGCCTTACGAGGAACATAAAAAAGACGTCCCGATAGGACTAAGAAATTGAGTTTAGTTTAAGTTACAGTTTAGAAATAATGAAAAACATTAGGTATGGAATGCCATAAATATGTCTTATTTGGTGCGTATTTTTTATACGTTAATTTTTAGACTTAATAATTTCAAATACCATTAGAAAAACAAGAATTCAACACAAAAATTAGTAAAGTGAAATTTATTTAAAGAAATTAATTACAAATTAGGTTCGATGCATCTATCACTTCCACTATCGACAATTTCTAGCACCAAAATTTTTCGATCTGGACCACGTTTAAAAATGTTGCCAGCAAATGAATGAACTTTATTCAAAAAACACAGTCTAATAAATAAGCTATAATATCTTATACAAAACTTTTCTTCAAAAAGTCAACTTTTGCAACTGATTAAATAAGAGTTCACAGTTGATTTTTGTGCGAGTGTGAGTTTGAGGTATTTAAAAATTCGTCAAAACTAAGCATACAAAAAACAATACAAAAAATATTACATTTACAGGTATACCTATAATTGTCTTCATTAAGTTTGTTTCACGAATACCCTTTTTTTTACCAGCTAAGTTAAATAAACTCATCAGTTTATTTCACATTAATCTAAATAAACAAATGACAAAAATAAAATCAGATCAGATCATAAGCAGTTTAAAAATTATGAATATAAGTTCATTTACAGGTCCAAATTACCCAGCCAGCAGTTGGTCCAAAAAGAACGTTTTTCAGGATCAAATGCAGGCCAGGTATGTTCTGTTAAAATACATTTCAAAAGTTATTTTAGCAGAATATAATTTCCAAACTTATAACATATAACATTCTACAATTATATATCACAAATGTGTTTAAGGTTTACATCCATGTTTCCACACTTGTATGGTTTAGATGGTTCTCCATAGAAATGGCTCTCTCAAAAAGATTTGCAGCAATATTTTACAAACATATTCCTAAACAATGTATGAATGGCGTACAACCTGCTTAAGCAGGATGTACTACATGGTACCAGTAGCAAGATAACCTGACTTGACGCTTGACAAGCAGACCTAAAAAAATATGGATATGAAGAGAAATTAGATCATGCGCAAAAAGAAAACAGTAGATTAAGCACTAATGACATCAAAAAAAGAAGACAGACATAAACATCTGTATTCTGTGTCACAAATATTTAACGTTTGTGACAATAAAAACTGAAACTACAAATATATATTTTTATTCTATTTTAGTATAAAAATGTATAACTTATAATATTTTTTTTCTGTTAATTTATTTAAGCTCTTACCTTAAAAAACCTTTATACAGTCAGTGGCAAAGGCAGGTTTTTTTAAGTTCCATATTTGACACTTTCAGGCTTTGTGCATACTTTAAATTTTTTATGTCTACCTGGAATGACAATGAAAAAAATAAATTATAATCTATTATTTGTTATAAATAATACATAGGTGTTTGAAAATTAAAATACCCAAAATATTTTGCTCTCCTATATCTGAATATGAGGGAAATAAGTTCATATTAGCATTCAAAAGTTATGATGATGTGCAATTTGCAACCTCCTTATTTAAGGAGGGAAACTAATCTTTATATGGACAAAACTTTTGAAAGCCAAAATACTAATAAAGTTACAAACCTGTTGAGGATATTTAATTTAATATCAAATAAAATACTTTTATTTACAGAACTCATTTCCCTCACATTCAGGGATGGGAAAGGGCAAAACGTTGTCATTCGACATAAGGATAAAAATAATTAAGTTTGCAGATTGGACAATGTGCTTGAAAATGTCTTATGTGAATACATAAAAAAAGGAACCTATGCTATTGCACATGCATTTACATATACCCTATAGTGTAATGTATACAGATAAACAATAACCATAATAAATAATTTAACAAAACAAAACTTATTAGTTAATAAAATACGTAATTATTATTAAAAATTATTTGCATAGCAAAGCAAAATACAAAAAGTAAACACATACTTAACAATTGACGCTTTCACAGTGGCATAACTTAAATTACCAGCAACATTTGATAACTGAAGCCTCAAAAAAAATACAGTTAAGAATAAATAGTATTTTATTCAACACGGAAATGTTTTAGTTCAAAATCATAGTTCTAAATCAAGAATTAGGTTGAAGCTGGCAACCAAATTGAAAAAGCAAAGTAGACAGATAAAACCGTGCCGATACAACATTTATTCATCATATCCGGTTTAAACAATTTGATTTACGTGTAAGGAGAGTATTACATATAAGGAGAGTATTATGTATTACTATATTCTTTTCTACTTGTTTATCTATCATATTTAATGATCGTCTGTTAGAATATAAAAAATTGCAAATAAAAATCCAAAATTTCAATATAAAACACAAAACTTTCATTAACAAATATACATTCACATTAGTGGGTGTTGTAGGTGCCTTGTTTTTTTCATATCTTTGTTTTTATACCAAATTGTATACATTTTGATAAGAATTGGAAAAGTTATAACATTTAAAGTTACGAAAAACTATCAATTTTGTCATTATTTTTTCAAGAAATCCTTATCAAATTTTCTACTAAAAATATCATGTAAAATTTTGATTTTTTCACCATTAAAATATAAAACAATCATTTTCTAACATTAATAAATGTATTATTTAATTTGTTTGTGCACTAAATGTTAAATCATTAATATATTAATAAAGCTTTACCATACGTATTTTTATTAAATGTTGCAAAAGTATATAAATTAAAATTTAAAATATATATATATATATATATATATATATATATATATATATATATATATATATATATATATATATATATATATATATATATAAAAGTGCAACTTTCAGCATAAAATTCAAAATTCTATGTAGATGGAATGTAAAAATAATAATCATAAGAATACAGTAAACTCCCAATATCTCAAACCTCAGATAACTCAAACTTTCCTGTAACTCAAAGTACTTTCGATTATTATTAGTAGTACACATATAATTTTTTTACTGTTATATCTTGTTACTATGTTATATATGTATGTTAATATATTATATATGAATCGATTCATATATATCATATATATCATATTGTCATATATATCATATTATGATATATAATATAGTTACATGCATCTATAATATAATAACAGGGATTAGGTTATTGACAGTTAACTTCAAAGAAAATAAAATTACATATATATAAAAATAATGAAAATTTAGATTTATTGACTGATTTTTATTATATTATTACTGTATGAGTATAAAATCTTAATTTTATAGCTTTATTTCCTGACATTTATATTTTAAGTATTACGTTTAAAAAAAAAACTATAATACTTAAAATATAAATGAAAGTAAATAAAATAGGATTTTAAACTTATACAGTAATATAATGAAAAATTAGTTAGTCAATCTAAATTTCATTATTTTTATATATATCTAATGACATAAAAAATATAAAATATAGAAAAATAAAGAAAAATCAATGACATATAAAGTAAAAAAAAAACATGTCACGACATATATATGTTATATATAGTTTTTCTTTACTATATAAACAATCTTTGTATATTTTATTTAGCTATATACATATATAAATATAAAACACATATATTATCTAACAATTATCTAATAAGTAATTGTGACCTCTTCAAACGAGAATCGCCATTATTAAAACACCTTTTAATAATCATCATTAAAAATTCATCTTTGCTGCATTACATTTATTTTGGTCCTAGTAGTTAAGGATTTTTTTAAATTTTCAAAAACAGAAGTAAATGTTTTTTTTTAATATCACTTTATCTCTTTTGATTAATGGTGATACTGCACTAACTGATGAAAGACATTGACAGATGTAAAGCCAGTATAAAAGTTGAAAGATCTATTAATTTTAAAATAAATGTTTGTTTACAAGTAAATTGCAATAATACGATTTGTTTGGATTATGTTTATATACAAATTTGTCTGTTTTCATAGTAATAACTAATGTAGTTGAAGTTAATTTTTGATATAAATCTTTATTTTTTTATTTCGTGCTGAAGTTCTTTTTTAAAATTATCAATTTCCTTTGTTAATTCTTGATGCTCTATTCAAAAAAATTTACTATGGGGGTTTGAACCAATTTACATTTCTAGTTCTATTTCGCTTTTTTGTATTCTTTTTTTCAGGGTCAAATTTTAATACTTGGATTATTGACAGCTGATTTTGCTGACAGGTTTAATATATTTTTAGGATTAGCGAATGCAATATTTTCTTCATTGTTGAAAGCTTCTAGCTCACTTTTAAACCACATGGTTTTTGTTCCGAGTAAAGATGTTATAAGACAGGCAATGCAAAACAGATTTTAGAAATTAAATTATTCAGACTAACACTAAATTTTAGATATAACAGAATTTATTATGGAATCATCTTAAAATTTTGACTTACAGAAACTAACAGGGAATGAATACAAACATTACAACAATATAAAAACATTAGTACCCGTAGTTTCAAATTCATCAATAATTTCTTTAAAAAGTTTTTAAAGCTTACAGAAGCTAAATTTCGGATAAAAAAATTGTATATCGCAACAATTATTTAGATTGTATTACAAAATACTCTTGTATAATGTATGATTAAGGCTTTAATATTAATTTTTTAATACAAATGAAGTAATTTTAATTAAATCCATTTTTATCAGTCACTTTAAAAATATGATGAGTATTTGTATAAAGATAATTAAAATTTCAAACAAAAATATTAGCTTTACTTATTGTTTTTTTTTAGGTGAATCAATTGCAATTGATGGAATATCTTTAAAATGCTGAGGTAATTAAAATAATTTTTAATTATTCAGGAATTTTAAGGATTAAATTGTTTGGAAAAATAATTGTTTGATAATGAGTTTAATTTAAATTTAAAAAAAAAAATTAATATTAGTTCACGCATAATTAATATCAGTTCTCTTATCTATTAAAATTTAGAATATTTTCCAACAATTTTGTGACCTCCATGAATATGAAGGGGAAAGGTGGAAATATGCTTTATAAGCACTAATTTATATGGTGTAGTGAAAGGTATACCATTATAAGATAGGTAAAACCTTTTTATTCTCATTTTTTATATATTCAAAAATTTTTCCTTATGTTTTTTTTTGTTTTGCTTTTTTTCTAATTCTTTTTTATTAATAGTTTCTTCTATTAAATACGATGGAGCGACTGAAACTTTAATTGATGGCATTTTGTCTAACTTCTAAAAATGCGCGTCATTTCGAAAAGGTGGCGGAAAAGAAAAAAATTTAGATTGATTGGTATAAACTTATATTTATAAAAATCAATCTAAAACTTCTTTATTGAAATATTTGCATATATTTCAATAAAGAAATATTTTCTTTTTGTCTGCTAATATTTTTTTTTCAGTGTTAATTCAACATTACAAATTAAAACTCAATTATGAAAAAAGCCTAGAATCGAGTTGATGTTTTAAGTAAAATAAGAAAAGCCCAAAAACTTATGTAATATTTTTATTTTTTGATAAAAAGAATATTCTAATTATGTTTAAAATTGGTATTAATATTAATGTTTATTAGATGAAGATGAGTGAAAAATAAGTAATGCTTATTAGATAAAGATAGGTAAAAAAATAAGTTACAAGTTATTTTTTGGTCTTGAAAATTGTTTAAATGATAATTTATTGTTTATCAAAATATTTCCTTTTTTAATTATTTTTGTTTTTATATTTTAATTAAAAGTCGATATTGTGTCATATATTATAATATACCTTATATTATATATTTTATATTAATAATGAGTATTTTTGTTTTTTTGTATTTCTATTTTTTTTCAATATTCCATATTTATCTTATGTAGATGTTTATGTTTTAGCGACCTTGCCCAGTAAGCACAAAGGCGTTCAAAAGACGTTTTAAAGATGTCTTTAAGGAGGTCTAAAAATTGCACTTGTAGACGTCTAGATCATAAGGCTAAAAGACGTCCAAATAAAGACGTCTTTATAAATACGCGTTTTAGACGTATTTTAGACGTTATTTTAGGATGAATTTAAGTACATGACGTAACATTTTCGCGTAGTATGTGGTATACATTCATTGTATTTATACGTTAAATATTGTTATAATTTCGTATATACAAAATATACATACCCAGTAAGCACAAAGACGTTTAAAAGACGTTTTAAAGATGTCTTTAAGGAGGTCTAAAAGGCGCACTTGTAGACGTCTAAATCATAAGGCTAAAAGACGTCTTAATGAAGACGTCTTAATGAAGACGTCTTTATAAAAACGCATTTTAGACGTATTTTAGACTTTTTTTTCAAGATGAATTTGAGTACATGACGTAACATTTTCGCGTAGTATGTGGTATATATTCATTGTATTTATAACATCATATATTGTTATAATTTCGTATATACAAAATATATA